GTATGGTAGCTGCCAAAGATCCCTTCTTTGGAACAGAGGAAAATTCTTCATACATACCTGTGCTATCTACATACCAGCATCTACAGCGGAGACTTAGGGAGCACTCCAAGGCTTCTAGATTACCCTCAGTGCTCTGAATTGTCTCTTTAACAGCCTTGGTATTTAAAAGAAAAACATTGGTCACAGGCCTTTAATTTCAGATGAACAGGTATTCATGTTGTTTGAATAAATGTAAATATGCACCTATAGGGTCTGAGATTTTTATTTTGAAATGGGAGCTTTTTCATTACTGGTCATTAAAAACTAAAAACTTTTCAAAAAAAGTGCATGAGTTGATAAATGCTAAATGGAAAAATGTTCAAAGAATAATTAAGAAAGGCACAAAAGAAAGAATTCACATGGCTTTGTGAAATGATAATGAAGACAAGTTAATATATGATGTGGAAGTGTTCTGAATGGACATTTGGTATTAGGATAATAGCATACATGTAATATAACATATATGTTGTCATGTAGTTGAAATGTCCGACAAACTGGATAAGTTCAAATAAAGCTAGGAGGTCTTGAGATCTGTTAAGAAAACATGATTCATTTGTAAGTAATGCTAACACTAATATTTGTTGTCATCAGCTTCTTTCTAATTTATGTATCACTGGCCACCTGTTTCAAGTAATTTGTAAGGAATTTGCATGTTTCCAGACAAGAAGTGTCGTGAACAGGGATGATTCCATTTCCCTGCTGTTAAAATGGGTTGTTAATTATTCCTTGTGAGTTGATTACTTCTAATTATGATAATACAGCAGCTGTGGACAGTGCCCTTTCTTTCACACTCTGTGATATGAAAGGGACTGTAACTGTTTAAAACTCAGTCCTGGTATTGTGTTACTATTATTGCTCCTGGGGAGGCTTATTAGCCTGTCACTAAAGACGTAAGAAAAATCCATCATTCCTTTTGGAATACGATGAGTCTTTGTCACCCACAGTGCAATTAATGTTAAAAATAGAAAGAATGGCTATGATATGATTATGATTAGCTAGAGATGAGCTATTGTCCAAGTAGCAGGCACTAATCCAGCAGGCCAAAGATGACCTACACAGAACCATCAGTTTGCTGATTGCCATTTCTCTCTGAGTTTGATGAAATATTCATGGCTTCGCTCTCCTCTCTGCAAGCACTATTGATTTCTTGTATAAACGCTGCTATATTTAGTCTAGACAAATGGAATGTGGATTGCTGCTGAATAAATTGGATGAAAGACTGGGATCTTGCCTGCCGCTTTCTCTCAGTCTTGGGCAATTATTTATAATCAAGAGCAGTTTTTGTAAGTTGAGGGTGATTTTTCACAATTTAGTGATTAGTCTCTGAACAAAGGCAAGCAGTTAGACACAATCATTTCTGTTGGGATAGCAGGTTAAGAAGTCAAATTACCCTTTGAGGTTTACAATAGCTGCTTTGGAGGGTTCTGGGACTTTTGTTCCTTATCTTTTGGGGGGAGGATTTTTAGGGGTTCAGTGTTTACAGTTCATGGATAATAAGAATACCAACAAGAAGAGACCCAAGGGTCTCTTGAAACATTTCAAATTTGTATAGGGTTAAATTCTGATTTTTGTTTATTGGCATTTTCATATAAAAACTGGAGGCTGCAGTTTGGCCTTTTTAATGTAAAAATGAAATATATCATTGACAGCCTTTGCTTTTGATTGGAATTATGCCAACTCTATAAATTAATGCTCAAAATCTCATGTTACGCCAGTGCCTTGATTGCAAGTTCCACATTGGACCTTGCAACTAGAAAGCTTATGGGCATCATCCTCAGTTAGTTTCAGACTTGGCTCAATTAATAGCTTTCCTTTCACAAACATGATTTAAAATACATTGTCCACCAAACTACGGTATATTCATAAACTGTATTACCATTGTCATTAAAGTGGCATTACCATCAACGTAAGCTTCTGATCAGTACATTGAAAAAAAATACCCTGTGTTGGCACCGCAAGACTGATACCAGTCCCCCACCCCACCCCCATTCACAGGTGCACACACTCAGTTCGAATGATAAGCAAGGGCAATAATGTTTCTTTTAGTATTTGCAGCTTTAACTTCTTATAGGCGGGATTTCTGTTTGGCTTTCTTGACTCTCTGAAAATAGCTCTTAACTCCATATGGAATATTAGCTTTGTGGTTCCCAACCTGGAATCTGGAAATCTGAGTTACTTACAGTAGTAGTCAGGCATTAGATGCAATTTGGAAAAATACAGTAAAGTCGAGGGGGAAAGTATTCATATTTCCACCCTAAATACCACTGCCTTCTGCTCAGTATCTCACCAGTCTTTGCTGGTAGAATTCAGAAACTAATATAATTAAAACCCCAGTAGCTGTGATATGCTGTGTGAGGCCTGGAATTTGTTTCTTTTTTGTTTTAATACTAAATCCCAACATCTAGAATCATGCCTGGGAATTTAACATTCTCAATAAATGTATATTGTCTAGTTTAAATTATTTATTTAGTTTAAAGAGATATCATAGGATATACATTACTTTTATTACTTTTTTTAAACTTAGTGTTATAACAACATTTTCATGTTCTCATATACACTGTGTTTAGTGATTGAATGTTTTTATACCAAATGGACACGACATATTTTTCTTATAGTTGACAATTTCAATTAAATTAATAACATTTCGTTAAACATATAGCATTGAACTGTTTCTTCTCTGTTAACTGTTATCTCCTTAAGATATATTCCTACAGTTGGCAAACCTGAATCAAATGGCAGAAATATTTAATGCCTCTTGATACAAATCACCAAATTGTTTTTCAGAACTTTGAACCCAGTTGACAGTATCTTTTGCAATTTACAATCGTGTACTTGGTCATGTGCCCACCCTTACAATGGGACAGTATACACACATATGCATATACATATACATATACATGAATCATACAAAGGATATTTAATAATTAGAAACCGATGAGTTATTTTGACTTAAAGTGTGCCTTTCTTTCCTAGAGAAGGTGAACTTTTTGAGTTGTTAAGCTATGTTTCTGTATTTCTCCATTTTTTGTTAGTGTTTTTACTTTTTGATATGTAACATAAATCACGTACAATTTTATTTTCACACTTGCTCCTAATATTTCTGTTTTGTTAGCCACACAGTATTGATGATTTATTTTCATATATAGGAAATTTCCATTTTAATGTAATTAAAAAAAACAAAAGCCTTTATTGGGGGATGTGCTAATGTTGTAAGTCTTTTAGTGAATTATCCCATTTAATCCCTTTTTTCTCAATACAGTTTATTGATTATGCTATTACAGTTGTCCCATTTTCCCCCATCACTCCCCTCCACCCTGCACACCCCCTCCCACCCACATTCCTCCCCTTTAGTTCATGTCCATGTGTCATACTTATAAGTTCTTTAGCTTCTACATTTCCCGTACTATTCTTACCCTCCCTCTGTCTATTCTCTACTTACCATCTATGCTATATATTCTAAAAACATTCCCATTTAATCCTTTTAACAACTCTTTGTCGTCACTGTTTACTGTGATTATCTCCATTTTACATATGAGGAAACTGAGTCCTACACAATTTAAATGACATACTCAGCTAACACATTTAAAAGGACAGAAGGATGGGGGCAGGAACTTAGATTTTAGAGCAGAGGTTGAAAATTAGCATCCTGCTCATCAAAATTTACTTATAGAAGCTTTTTTTGGTTACTGTTCTCATAGTGTTTAGATCCCGTAAGTTACTTTTCACTGAAACCTAGGTGGCATCTCTCTACTCTACTACGGATCTGTATATCTTTCTTTGTTGTCTTATTCCACCAGCAGTTGCCTGGATCTCCATAATAGTGGTCGACCACTTTAGAGAAGCCATGTCATCCAGTTCCGCACAGTTTTTCCTCCAAAATCCCTATTGTCTTTACCTAGCTGTGTTTCATTCAACTGTATAATTTTCTTTGTTTTTAACTACATAATTTTCTTGATGCCCGTGGGCAAGGTAATATTGGCAGTATTGAACAACCAGCGTGGCATAGAGACGGGCTACTCAAAGTGGACATCTTCTGTTATCTCCTTAAGCCATAAACAGCTGGTCTGCACGTCTTCCCTGTCAGTGCGCGTTTGTGCTTATTCCACTCCTGGAAGGCCTCCGACAGAAGTTGTGCTAAGAACGTTCTACGCAGTATCTAATTTAATTTTTATAAATTTAAATGCCTATAATTATTCTCAGATTATCAAATCTCTCTTTATCCAGTAGCTTGACTGAGTATTTGTTTTAAACTTCCTCCCAGTTTTTCTGGCTTGTTTAGTTTAGGAGTACTGTGATTGCCATGCAGATCATTTCCATTTAAAAACCAGCACACAGTCGCTTGGCTGCTTTTATCCATGATTGGCCCTGGTCATCTTTGCCATGGTTGATCAATCTACTCACCATTTGCTCATTTTAGCATGCAGATTTGTATTTGTATTTGCTGTGTTCAATAGCCCTACAAATGCAGTGTGTACAAAGCTTCAACTTTTTAAAGGAATATGTATTGGAATGTGTCTTTGGAATCTAGTTACCAACAAAAATGCTTGCAAGTTCACAAATTGGGTTGTATTAGAAGTTCTCTATTAAAACATGATATCTTTTGCTCAGCAGAGTTGCCTTTTTGGTCCTAAGTTGACTTGACTTTTGTAAGTGGTTCAGTAGAATAAGTTTTATGAACGACTTTGAGAGCAGTGAATAGTTGGGGTCATCTCTTTGAAAGAGGGGAAATATGGAAGATTCTGGGCAGAGTACAAATGACTGGGAGAAACTTAGAATATAGCACATTTTATCATATGTATATGCAAACAACCTTTGATCAGCATAGTAAGAAAAGGACTAGACTGGTTGTTGTAAAATTTGTTGTACAGGGTATACACAGCACCTTCTCTTGTGTCTGTGTCCAGTCAATGGGCTAATTTCCTGATCTTCATCATCCCTTTCTTTTTTTCCCATTTCTCCAGTGGATGTAAAGTCAGAGGCTCCTGTGGGCCTGGAGCCCATCTCTCCTCTAGACCTAAGGACGGACCTCAGGATGATGATGCCCGTGGTGGACCCTGTTGTCCGTGAGAAGCAGCTGCAGCAGGAGTTGCTCCTCATCCAGCAGCAGCAGCAGATCCAGAAGCAGCTCCTGATTGCAGAGTTCCAGAAACAGCACGAGAACTTGACACGGCAGCACCAGGCTCAGCTTCAGGAGCACATCAAGGTAGCAAACGTTTCCTTGCCTCTGATCTTTTCACTCAGGGAGCCTGCACTGTGTGGTGGGCGTGAGAAGGAGCCCTGGGGTGTTGGAGGCTGGGAGTGGGGAAGGTTCGTTGTGGTTAACGCAGGGGAGTCTGGCTTGAAGGGTTCGAACTGTGTTTGCATTGGTGAAAACCTTGGGTAAGTGGTAGGAATGCTGACCAAAAACCTGCTTTGTTTCCCGGGGGCCTCTACCACTCTTTTATCCTTCAGTTTACAGCATCAATAGTGAGGAACAGGAACTCCCGCCCTGTTTTCAGATTCTCTTCTGCATGATACTGTTCGTTTGCCTTACCTACCTTCCATCAAGGAGAACCGTGAGCCTTGGGAGACCCATTTTATATTTTTAAAGAATCTGCTTATGTTAGTTATCAGAAAGGATAAGTTAGTCAATTAATTTTTTTCCCTAATATTTCTTATGGAAAAGACCTCATATTGTATATATTTGAAACATATTTTTTAAGAGTCTAATAGACTATGGATGATAATTTATTAAAAGAATGTTGGAAGTAGTGGGCAATTTCAGACTCAAGTTTTTAAATTATTTTAGGAGGAAAAACATGTCCATGTCCTGGAATTTTTTATGGTGGTTTCTTTTCTTGTCAGGTCATTTTAGATGTCTGTGTATCTATTTCTTCTCTTTTACATTTAGAGGTAATTAAAGCTAAAGTATTAGCTTTGTTTCTAAAATACCTTTCAACTTCTTGACAAAGACATTTAAAACAAAACTATTTATGGTCCAATTATATAGATATCTAATATGAGTTTATTATAAAAGTACCATAAAGCAGCAAATATTTTTAATTAAAAATTCATGTTATATTCAACTCCTTCATAATGACTTAAATATGCTAATTTATTAATATGATAAATTACCTTATGTTATCTCATATTATATTTTATTTAGATGCTTGATCGATTACCTGCATATCAAATAACACTTCTATATGGGGTTCACATAGATAATTAATTTGCATCAATATTGTATGATTGTATGACATTAATGTTACCATGTCTAAGAAGGTAAATTGATGTCTTCTTCTCTGTGCCCCTTGTTTTATAAGGTATTTCATTAAACCCTTCAACTAAAATGCTTATTTTATCTTATTATCCAAAATAGCATTCTTCAACACCTAATGTAAACTGTAACAAATTTTTCTATTTTTTTAAACAAATCATCACCTGAGAATGTTTATTGCTTTCAGAGAGAGAGGCAAGGGGAGAGAGAGAGAGAGAGAGAGAGACAGGGAGACAGGCGCATCGATGTGAGAGGAACCTGGATCAGTTGCCTCCTGTGTGCGCCTCGACCAGGCATTGAGCACACAGCCTAGGTCCGTGCCCTGACTGGGGTTCAAACCCACAACCTTTTGGCGTCTGGGACAAAGCTTCAACTAACTCAGCCACCCAGCCAGGGCTACACATTTTTTTTACTAGTGATGTTATTAGTGTTCACATTACTGTTTTGAATCTGTCTTCTACAATGAACATCTGTTGAGTTGGATGCGATTATCCCATTTTTTCACCTAGTAAGCTGAGACAGAGAGAAATGTTCTAAGTTGCCCAAGGCCACGCAGCCAGTGAGTGGTGGTTCCAGTGTTTGTGGTCCTGCCTTGTCTGTCTCCAAAGCTATTCCACGTCATGTCTCCTCAACCAAAACATCCGGAACTGGAGGGGCGAAGCTCTATTTCTGTTTTCTTCAGCCTCAGTCCTAAAGTTCTTCATTAATGAATGCTGGCTGTGGAAATTGCATTTTGAGTGTTTTTAGATTCCCAAGACAATGAAATTTTAATTCTATCAGGGCTTTGGGTGAAGCACTGAATCCATTTGACCAATCCCAATATCTGTACAGAAGTAACATTCAAGGCAGAATTTAAGCAAAGTTATGAATTTTTCTGCCACAGTGGAGTATCTAAAAACACCTAATAAGGACCAGTGTATCCAGGCCAAAATGCCAAAGACTTTAATATAAAGAGTACCCAGAAATGCTTCCTACCCCAACCCTTACAGTGAGGCTACCAGGGTTAACAGATGGAGTTGCTCCAGAGTAACTCTGGTACCATTCTACACTGCCTTTTCTTTTTATTCTATTACTTTTGAGTGTAAATTTTATATCTTTAGACATCTATCTAATATAAAAAGCACATTACACTAACATCATTGGTATTGAGAGTTGAAAATAGTCATAATAATTGAAGTGAGTATGGTGGAAACTTACAAACTAAGTTTCATATACTTAATGGACATGAGGTGCAAGTCCAATTATTTCTCTGTCTTGCACATAAGGAACCAAGGCTCTGAGTAGTGTAGTGACTTGCCTAGGTCTCATGTACAGCAATGTCAGAATTTCAGTAGAACTCAGAGTCTTCAGTTATTCCTCAGGAGGGCACGGTGACCGTGATTCATAGATATCCATTTCTCAGTCCGAGAGAAAACTGACATCTCACAACAGTTATTAAGAATGCTTCATATTCTTGACACTCATTGTTTGGAAGTAAATTCAAGGGATACAGACAACCAAACCACAGTGCATCAAAGTGCAGTTTAATGGACGTGATTTCTTCTTGACTAGCCTCTCTCATCTGAAGTTTTTGTGTGCTGGGTGAGCAAACTAGTCTGCTGTTTTTGAGCTAAGAGCCTATGAGGAATAATAGACTGCATTAATCTGTTGAGAACCTTCTCTGCCAAGTTTTGAAATTCTTAACATTTATTCTATTTCAGGTAGACTTCCCTGTAGTTAACTCATTTCTCATCATTCAAATCAGTTTATTTTCACACCATTTCTCAGGATAGAAAATGAAGATTTTAATGGTTAACTTATAATGTGAGAGGAGTGGTAAAATAGACTTCTGGACAGTTCTGCTGTTTGCCTGTTTTATATATTTCATATTAGAGAGAAAATTCCTTAGGGAACTAAAGATCTGAGTGAATTTGGTAACGATGTTTGACAGGGCAGAACAGGGAATAAAGCTCTTCAAAAACTGCCTTATTGATGCCACTAAGACCATTTACGACATTAGGTGCTTGTCTTTAGATTTTAATAATTTATCAACAAAGTGGGTAAAAATGTAAACTAAATTCAAACAAGTTCCAAAAGCTCCTAGCATTTCGATTTTGGTCGGTGATGACAATGAAGCTTAAAGAAATTGCACACTCTCATGTCTTTCTCTTCTCGCAAGTTGCAACAGGAACTTCTAGCCATAAAACAGCAGCAAGAACTCCTAGAAAAGGAGCAGAAACTGGAGCAGCAGAGGCAAGAACAGGAAGTAGAGAGGCATCGCCGAGAACAGCAGCTTCCTGCTCTCAGAGGCAAAGACAGAGGACGAGAAAGTAAGAGGCACCGGGGGCAAAGATGGACTCTCTTCCCTCACCTTTAGCCGATCGCCACACAGCAAAGAAGCCTGAGAAAGAGTGGAATTAAACTTGTCAAATTGTCTGCATTTAACTAAAAGAACACATTATGGACCCAAATGTAAAGCTTTGACCTCACCTATCAGCTCTCTGCATTCAGTCTGCAAAGCATCTCAGGAAGTAAACACAACATTGGTTGGCAAAGATACTAATTTCTGTTTTTTGAATTTCAAAACTAATGTCACAGTAAAGCAGTCTTGCTATGCCTTATTGTTTAATAATGAACTCACTTCCATATTTCCTCACTATGCCTTTCTCCAGCTCAAGTAATGATTGTTCTGTAAGTCAGGCCTTGCCTCCATTTGGTTTTTGAGTACCAAGACCTGGGGAAGATTTGAGGCAGAGCAGTTGTTTAAAAAATAAAAATAAAAATAAAAAATAAAAAACAACTATCCACAAGAGGGAGACAGATCCAAATAATTCCCCTGTATGAGGTCAGTTCAAAATCAGATTGTGTAGCAAGGTTTAAAATTGGGTTACTTGAACTGAAATTGTCAGCAGTATTTATTTGTTTAATGCTCAAAAGAGTTTTTTAAAAAGTTAGTTTTTCATAATAGCGATTCAAAAAATGACCATTTTATATGTTTAATCACTTACATGGTTTCACATAAATAATTCTTGATTTTTAAAAGGCAGTGTTTTGTTTCTTAGCTGTGCTTTATCAAAGCTGAGAAACAATTAGTATTAATTCTGGGACCCCCTTTCTGCAAAAGCAATTAAGGAAATCATCGAAGGTCTTTTGAAAATTGGCAGTTTCATCAGTAGTTACAAAACCTTACTATGCCATTGTCTAAAGCCTGTTAAGACTCTGGTTTCTTCTTTTAATAGGCACACTTCATGTGCTGTGACCAGTGGTGGTACATCTTAATTTTTGCTAAATACTTTAGAAGCATGAAAGGATGAAACTCTAAGTCACATCTGTTTCTGTATGTGTGTGTTTCAGGGGCAGTGGCAAGTACAGAAGTAAAGCAGAAGCTTCAAGAATTCCTTTTGAGTAAATCAGCAACGAAAGACACTCCAACTAATGGAAAAAATCATTCCGTGAGCCGCCATCCCAAGCTCTGGTACACGTATGTGCAGTGTTTGGCTGTTTTTTTTTTATTGGGGTAAAGAACACAGGTTGTGTATTCAGCCTGCCTGGCACAAATGGGGGACCTACCAGTTCTCAGCTGTTTGGCTATGGGTAAAGATTTTGAATTCTCTAACATCTCGTTTCCTTCTCTGTAAAAAAGGACAATCGTAGTCCCAGCCCTCTTGGCTTGCTGGGAAAGTCCTATGAAATAATATGGTAAAGTGTGTAACAGAGGGCAGGGCTTAATAAAGGTCAGCAGGTATCCTCTGGAGGGCCAGGAAAGATGTACGTTCTTTACTCAACACGTAACTGGCAACACTGGGATTGGGGCATAGAAATGAATTCATACTTTGTGTTTTTCTATTCTTGATGGTACATCTGATATCTTCACAAAAATTTCCGAACATTTGACAGGTTGAGATTTCATTTTACTTGGCTTGATAGAAGATGGAGATTGGAGCTATTTTTGAAAGTCGAGAAGATTTTTTATTTAAAAACAAAAAAGGAAGGAGGACAAGGGAGGGAAGGGAAAGAAAGTGAAGGATGGTAACCGTGTAAATCTCAGTCTTCCGTGACTGGTTTCTCCCTGCTCACGTCGCCTGAGGTCTCCCCACCCTGTAAAGTGGGGGTAGGTTGGCTTTGGACACACGAGCACATGACACACATGTTGTGGTATCACAGTTTTTATGGAACCATGTGTCCCCAAGTCCTGTAAAGCAGTGCTATACTGTCCATAATCTTTCTTTCTGCAAATATAAAGCAGAAAGTGGTTTTAAAAATTAGGACAAAATTTATAGGCAGAGCATATTTGGATAATAAACTAATAGATAATAGTTACATTTCCTCATTTTATCAATGTGTTTGCTGAATGACCATAAGATTTTATACTTATGTATATTTAACCCCTCACATCATAAGGATAAAGGAGTAAATATTCAATTACTCTGTTGCAATAATGAAATTGTAAGCATCCCGGAAGTTCTAATTAAGTATTATTGTACTTACAATTCTATTTTGTAAGTATCTGACCTTATCTGCATCCAAAAAAGTAACTGAGATGGTTTCCAAAATATTATACAAATACTTTACAATAGTTTTCATAATTTCTATCATGCAGATCAGTTCACTTGAGAAACCAATCCCTAAAGAAAATGTTCATCTATTCAATCAACATCAGTCTTTTAAAAGAAACACAATTTTATTACCTAAAATTGCAAACGTAATTTATAACTAATTCATATGCTTCCTAAGCCTGTTTTAAGAAGAGGTTTGTTTTTTTTTTTAATGGGAGACAACTATGTGTAAACAACTTGTCAGCTGAAAATTCTTTAGCTATTCCTTTGGGTTTATTAATCATAACTCTCAAATGTTAGTTAGCAATTTTTTGGGTACTAAATTGAACTTCAGTAGGCTCCAACTCCAGACAACCTTAAATCATTAATTATAAAATCTGAAGTTACTACTTTTTTGCTGGTAGAGCTAGATGAAATATCTTTAAACCAGTTAAGAAAATGATTCAAATGGATACTGGTAGAACAATCCCCTAGTTGGTGATACTATGCCTTGCCCATTGTTTTCTCCATATTTAATAATTCGAGACATTTCTATCCCCTGGCTAGTCTATGTTCAGTCCTGTACACCATTCCTCACTAGCATAAGTGCATCTCCTTCACTGTCTTTATGCAGGAAAGAGGAAACATTTCGAACAATCAGTTTTGTAGTGAAGAATGCTGTGATCCCCAGTCCTTCCCTGTGTCCCCCATATGTCAGGGGACCTGAGACCATTGGCACAGTGCTGTCTTTTTAGCAGGAAACCTTGTGTACTTTCATGCACTAGCTAGAAAATTTTTAAAAAGGAAACGCTTCTATATGTTTATTTTTACCTTGGTTGGTCTGCATTGTTGACTGAAAAGGATTTGGATGATGACTTTTCCACTAGTATGGCTCTTAAGAAAACATACAAAATCATCTCAGATTATTGTGACTCAGGCTCTTGGTAAATTGTCTCTTTCAATAAACCAAACTTTTCTATGTGACTGTGACCCAACACACGGTGGGCATTCCTGGGAATCCTACATCATTGCATAACATATTGCGATCGTGAACTTGGTTACATGAGGCTGTGGTTTGTACACACAAAAAAGAAAGAACATAAACACAGCTGAGACACGTGTACAGCATGTGCAACTGATTATTGCTGACCAACATGCAGTAAAAACTCCAGTGCAAGTGGTGAACCCTCCTCTTCTCTTGCAGGGCTGCCCACCATACGTCATTGGATCAAAGCTCTCCACCCCTGAGTGGAACATCTCCATCCTACAAATACACATTACCAGGAGCACAAGATGCAAAGGATGACTTCCCCCTTCGGAAAACTGGTAAGTTGGTTTGCTCTTCCGTAACATCCCTGCACTTTGTTTGGCCTCTAGGAGCAAGTCAGAGGATGGGACTCAGGGCTGTTGTGTCCTCTGCATTAACGAGTAGGTGCGTGGTTGTGGGCGTGTGCACATGGGCACACACACAGACACCTATTTTCTCATCAGTGGATTCAGTATATAATTGAAGTGCCTTTTCTAATTTAAAAGTTTATCATATTTGGATTTTAGTCAGGTTATCTTACTAGCAGTAAACACTAGAATTGAGGAAAGTAAAAATTTGAGTTCTCAGAAAATTTTGATCTTTTCCATTAATTAGGACCTCTGTAATTTCCCCCATTTATCTAATTTTCTGATGAGCCTCGATCATTTGCCCCCAAAAGGAGAATAATGAGTTTTTCGTTCCTCACCCATTTAAAAAACCTTACATTTTAATTGTTTAAGTGGTAAAAACAGATGAGGCCAAAGCTACCTTCTGAGTAAGTGACTTGCCTAATGTCTCACAGATTTCAGGAGAATGCCGAGTGAACTTTCCTACCTAATAATCTAATGTAATTATATTAAAATTCACTTAGGAGAACTGGGACAATGGAGCTTCTATTTGGAATTTAGTCAGCAGCCCTGTGGCTCTACGACTTGTTTATTTTTATATCTTTATTTTTAGCCCTCTGATATGTACACATTTAACATGTTATACACTCTTACCCTTATAATAAATATATTTTAAAACTTTAGCAAGATATAAGCATAAATACCATTTGTGGACATTTTGTTCTGCATCTTATGATTTCTTCCAAGTAGGGTTCTTTAGAGAAAGTGGCAAATAAAAAAAAAAAAAGTATATCCACAATTGATCTGAAAAGGTATTCAGAGGAGATAATTTGCTTCACTGTATTTTACTCAGGTCCACTTGAAGAAGTATAGATCGATGTAATTTATATATGGAATCTACCAAGAGAAAACGATTTTAAATAATTATACTTATTTTCCAAAGCAGTGCTGAATAATTACAATGGAAATACATTGTGAAAACACATGCTGAAGTTATTTCCTCTCACATAATTTACCTGTAGCATAATGAAGATTTAAAAATAAAATCAATCCTGAGCAAGAATTATTATTTAATATCTATTGTACCATAAACTGGGGAAGGATGGTCAGTATTGCAAAGCAATCCATGTCTTTTTTTTAAAGAGTCCAAAGATTTTTGCATTTCTACTATGAAAACAATAGGCATAGTAAAATACTTCAAGAAGGGCGTGCAAAGGGAAGAATGAGTTTCATGTATTGCATCGGAATTTCACACTATTATCTACAAATCAGGTTGCCTTTTATAAAAATAAACATCTCTGGGATAAAAGGAAGAAAGCACAGAGTGAGCCTCCATGTCTTTCTCAAACACAGAGTCGAGTTTATGAAAATTGATCCATAAAGGACATGAGTTTTCGAACGTGTGGTCTTTGATCTGCAGCCTTGACATTTACTTGCACCAATGCATGTGGAGGAACTATTGACAGAGATTATGTGAATATTGCCCCAGGTCTCGGGGCAGTGACTGGCATTCAAGAGCCCATGGAGTCACTAAAAGGAAAGAAAACACAAGTCCCCTTATGGCAGGAGGTTACTGATGAGTGATATAGTTACATTCACAGAGAAAGACTTCTACCCTGCTGTGCACAGCCTTTGAATGTATTCTTACCACTGGGAGATTGAAAACTGACTGCAGAAGAAGTGGCCTTTGGAACCAGTAAGCATCCAGAAAGAAAATGTGTTTTTTTTTAATACCGTAGGACAAGTACTAAAACCCCATACTTTGTGCCCCACTGTTTCCATGAGAACAGTGTAGGATTTTTCCTCTGTGAAGAGTGAATAAGCGAGCAGTTAATTGATTCTTTTAGAAATTCTCATCTGTAGCAAAATTCAAAGAGAAATCCTGCTCAGGATATATGTTGTAGAATTTTACGCAAATCTGTATTAATATGAAAGACATTTTCTATGTCTATGTAGTATATAACAATAGTGAAAAGATATAGCCCTTGTCTTTTCTATTTTTCGTGTTTGCCCAGTGTTTTAAGTTCCTTCCTGATGATTATGAAATGCCAGGCAATTGATCTGTAAAACCAAACATTTTCTAGCCTTGCACCAATAAAGCTCTTGAACAACCATTAATACCTTTGTATCTCTGTAGGGGCTTCAAACTATTTCTTAATTCAATTCCCATTGCCTAAGAAAAATATGACATAATTAAATACAGATGTTTTCCACACATTATCTAAAATACTTAGAGATACCCTTCATTAATTACAAATAGGCAGAACTCTTACAACGTTTACAAATATAATCCATTTGGTGTATTTCCAATCCCCTGTGAGAAAGTTTAGACATATATTTGTACTAAATAGAAGAGCATGGAAATACAGTTAAATAATAACTTTAATTAAGCTTTTGTTGTATTTTAGTGAGCCAAGAGTTACTACAAAAGAAAGTGATTGATAACAAATTACCATCATGAAGCATAGGTGATGACTGGGGAGACTGGGTAAGATGGTTTTTGCAGAAGCCACATCCCTCTAAAAGAAATATAGAGTAGCCGCCTGGATCCTGCAGTGGAAACACCAGGGCAGTGACCACAGGGTCCGGCTTCTCTGTTGGGCCTGATTATCCTCCTCTGTGGTCTACTTGGATTTCGTTGAACTGAATCTTAGACCTAAAGGAAGTTGTTAAATAAGTGGCTGCTATCTTTTGATCTGATATAATACTAAATACTTTCAGTTTCTTTTCAACCTACATCAGTACTGAATTGCCGGTGTGGATTAGCGAGATTTAAGGCAGTAGAGCTGGAAGTGGAGTAAGAAAATCTTAATGACCTTAGAAAGTGGCCCCAGGGGTGTCCCTGAAGCAGTGCACACAGTTCTAAACCTCTGGTGACCTCTCTGGACCCAGCCGAACAGTGACAACCTAGAAACAGCCAACCAGGGAAGCCTCATTTGCCTGTAGAAGTCTGACCTTTGTCAAGCCAACTGGACCTTCACTTCCTTCCCCTCAGGAGAATCGTAGTCTTGCTCGTAGCATTTGAGCTTTTTGGAATCATCAGAATAATAGGACTAGTTGGCCGTCATTAGGCCCATTTCTAAATCATTCTTCTCTTAAATGTAGGAATTGAGTCTTTTGCTCCTTTCATAACCATGAACATCAAAGACTTTCCTAATTAGTTATAAAGTTGGGAATACAATAATTGTTTTAAATTATTTTTATTTATTCCCTTTACTTCAAGTAGCACTTCCTTTTAGAAGTCTACTCTGTGATTCCTTTCATTCTATAACACAAGGGTTTGTTTATACTGAAATTTGGAAGATTTTACTGAGCTTTATGGTTTGGCTACAAGTTATATCATGCTGTAGCAGGTGACCTTTCCCCCGCTAATATAGTATACTGCTGGACAGATAATAAACTGTAAAGCAGGGAAAGAAAGCTCCTGGGTCCAGGCACTTTTGAAAGAGTACATATTTCTCACAATGATAGTACATTTGTGGTGACTTTGAACTGACCTTCAAAACCATTTCAATTGGATTCTGTTCCAGTGAGTATGTGCATATGTTTCATAAAATATTATGGTGAAAAGTTCTAGAGGTTTTATGCTCCATTATATTATTGGGGTCTTACCCAGTGAACTTTGCTTTTCTTTGAATGTTACAGTGTTTCCATTTAATACTTCTGAACAAAGCAAAGCTGGCTGGCAAGATTAACCTCTTAAAGCGCACAAGCCATATAAAGCTTGGCTTGGGCTAATAGGGCCATTCCAGCCCCACTGAAATATTCATTTTAATGGCCAGCACCACTAAAATAAGACTCAAAGATGGAAGGGGTCCAACTGTAAGTTAAGGCTTTGGAAGGCCAATGTCATTTTCCACACTGAGTAAATTGGAAAGAAAGCAGAGATGAAATATATATCCCTTAGTGTAGTAGTTAGGATTTATGTTGTGGTACTTTGGTAACCTGTTCAAATTATTATAATACAGAATGAATACAAGGAGGGGTTTTTTTGATGTTTTAAAATATTTCTGTCTTCTTCTCTCTATAGATTTTATTTAAATTTTTCATTTATTGAATTTTGAGAGAGAGAGAGATCGGTTTTGTTGTTCCACTTATTTATGCATTCATTGGTTGCTTCTTGTGTGTCCCTTGACCCAGAATCGAACCTGCAACCTTGGCATCTAGGATGATGCTCTCACCAAGAGAACCACCCGGCCAGGGCTCTCACTAGTTCACTTTCTCCTTATGTGTGCACACACATTTCTGCTCAGATAGCACTACAGTACACTTCTGTTTAGAAAAGCATTCACTCATAATCTTATTCCAGGTTGACAAAAACTGAAATGTATATACTTAAGTACTCTCACTTCCATCATTGTGGCGATTCTTGCTTAAAATTATTGAAATATGCTCCTCATGATAAATTTACACCCGTTTTCCGAAAACTGAGAAGCAACGTGACACAGTAACCCAGGCTTCGAACCCATCTCCCGGTTTGAAATCTGGATCCCAGTCTCGGGACATATACTTGACCTCTTCAGGCCACAATCCTCATCTGTAACGTGGGGGTAATTATTGTACTTGGGCTGTGCAGTTACTGGGAGAATGCAGTTAAGTAATGCTTGGAATGCATTTGGGATCACACCTACAATTTGAAGAGTGTTGAATCTTAACCTGGTCCTTCTAGTTGATAAGGAATTGAGTTTCATTTATGTTCATCGGGTTAAAACCAGCTCTTATTGTTGCGGAAAGTCTTTTAAAGGTTTTACATTGTAAGCCTTATTGATAAAACAAGTGAATTCAGGAGAAAGTGAAAAATATTTTTATTTTAATCTGTGTGCAGCTTGCAAGTTGAATGACAGGACACGGAGCCTGGCCCGTCAGAGCCCAGGACGGTGTCCAGACGCAGCAGCAGACTCGCCTCTCTCCCTCCCCGTAGAAGGAGCTCTGACAGATGCTCCGTGCTCCCT